GCTGCTTCGCAACGTCACCCTTCCAGAAATATTCTGAGAGGTTTTAAAGAGAAACAAGGATTGACTGGGCTACCTCGGCTGATACTTTGGCTACGCTGTTAAGTAGCAACAGAAGAAACTTCTGCTTGGCAGAACCCACAGTTGGTCAGCTGTTAGGACTCCTGCAGCTTCTCAGTAGCTGTGAACCAGCCTTCCTGTGTAAGGATGTGAAACTACCACACGTACCAGTGAAACTGCGCCCACTGATGTTTACAAGATCGAAAGTTTCTTCCAGCAAATAATTTAGGGAGCGTTTGGACAGCGGAAACATAATCAATGAAATAGTCTCTCTGAAGAGCTGCGTATCGTTGTAGTTTGCTTGCACATCAGTAACCTCTGCTGAAAGTGCTGTTGTAATGAAGAAAGTTCCAAGAATTTTTTTTCCTGGTTAGCAGCGGTAACCAGACTACTAAATATAGATCCACAAATAAATGAGAGAGAGCCAAAGCTGGAAACCAGGTTCTGTAACATGAAATAAGAATTCAGTGGTTGAAAAACAAAAAGTAAACAGGGTTTAATGGAAACTAAATCAGAACTATGAAAAGTACAATTTGTTATAGTGAAGTATCAAATTTATATGTAGATTTTATACCTCACTGGGGGAAAATAACCAAGTCAAAAAGCAGTTGTTTCTCTTTTTCAATTGTGTGATAGTCCATACATACTTTTTTTTGTCCTGGTGGGTCTAAAATTATTTTGGGCGCAAACAAAATGAGCATAAGAATAAACTTAGCTCTTGAATGTCAGATCAACTTTTTTCACTTTTTTATTTTAATTTCTTGGCTGTTGGAATTGTATCTTTTTATTACTGTCTGAAAACTGGAGGTTAACATGCTGTCTAACTTTTTTTTTCTGTCCAGACCTGCCGTTGCAGTTTATACTTGGGTCACTCAGCTTATGGACTTTCATGGCCAAACAAAAGTAAACTTTGAAGTTACTAAGTTAACTTGACGGAATATGCTTAGCGCCCAAGACTCATACTACTGTACTACGGTTTTGTTTTCATAGCAATAAATCTTTTGTTCCTTGTTTGATTTCAGTCATCAGAAAGCCAGATACTTGATTTAGGTAGCAGGAGATTGGCAAAACTGAAAGTTTTCTGGAATCCTTTTTCACTTCATATTCAGATGTGCTTCATTGTCAAGTGCATATTTAGATTAGACTCTGAATTGTAATGTTGGATCTGCTGCTTTTTTCTAATAAAACCTAAAGAAAAATAGTTAAATTGGCATGGTTTTTAAAGTTAACATAGCCAAAAGCAATATGACTATGTCATTACATTGGTCTGCATTTTTTGACTGGATTGCTTTGTTTTGTTAAGAAAAATCTGTGTAGGCTGATCTTGAAAACGAGCCACTGAACATTCAGAGTATACATTGAATTTTCTTTTGCAAAGAAAAATGAAATTTGCTTAATGCAGAGGATATTTTTATTATAAATGTCATTGTTTGGCCAACTGTCCTGTAAAGCAAATTAAACCTAGACTCATGCAAAAGTTGTGTGGAATTATATTTGGCTGTTATGGCCATTTTAAATCTGCTATTCCAAGTTCCTTTAGTCAATGTTATCTCCATTATTTCTGCAGCAGTACACAAGAGTTTTCATACACAAAGCAGGAGGAATGTTTACAAATTGCAGTAATATGTTTCTACTTGAGAAATACGTAAGGTGAGATATTGTGGGATTAATAGCAGATCAAACATCTAAATATCTGACTATCTTTCATTGACCCCTCTTTTTGGATAGCCCTGAAAAATCTTATGAGGTTGAAGTGGATTTATGGAAGTAATGGTGTGGTATGTTTATCGGCAAGATAGGCACGTCAAGATAACTTTTTTTAAAAAAGTCTATCTTAGTGGCTTTCTGAGAAGACTTACTCCCTTGGTATGGTCAGTGAAGAGGATGGGATGGGTGGCAGCGTCACAATTGATCCATTTTCTTGCTCCTTTAGATACTCTGTGGTCTCTCCTGCTTCCATACTGTCTCTGAATCACAGAATCACAGAATCGCTCGG